TAATGTCAATTAAATTGACTCACTGTCGGTAGTCAAATTTTTCAAAATTTGGGGTATTTCACAAATGCGCCATAATGTACAACCCAAACATGTTAAAAAAATTTTGGGGGCATGCTCAGAGCTATCAGCGCAACTCAACGCAGCTCAACGCAGCTCAGCTTATATAGCGCATATAAGATAATATAAAATTTTTCCATAAAAATCCTTTCCACTTTAGTCTAAAAGGAAATGTAGCAGATCACGAGAAAGATAGCAACCAATAAATAAGATGGCTATCGCAAATCATAAACTTCATTGGAAGTGATCTGCTGCATGCTGTCAGAGAAATATGAGAGAGGTTAATTAGTGTTCAATATACACTCTTATTTATTAAGTAATACCTAAGATAAATTTATTATTTCTTAATCAAATTTTCATTAATTTATTTGATAACATGACATTTATCAATTGAGTATAGCATACCCGCATTAATTATATTAAAAAATCAATATTTACATCATATTGATTTAATCCATAAGCATAACAATTTACAATTATTTATTGGTCTAAATATTTAACATGAGCTCTTATTTCTTATTTAGCCCTTAGTTTTTATTTATATAGCGTCTTATATTATACTTCTATATAATCGCCCATTTTGTTTAACACTTTTGGTGATTATACAGACAGTGATTATATAGAATTAAAATAGAATTACCTCTAAAAAATCACAAAATATAGAATTAAAACAATGTGATTTTAAAAAGGTAAATTTTATTTACAAATTTTAAATTCTACAAATCTGTAGAATTAATTTAATCAAGTAATTGCTAAAATATTCTTGATTAAAGTTAAAATAATATTTAAAATATTTAACAAAATTTTTAACAAAATTTTAATTAAGAATTTATTAACAACTAGTTGATGAAATTTAATAATTTTTATATTTAAATCCTTAAAATCTATAGAATTTTAATAAAAAAAAATCATAAGATATTCTTGATTAAAGTTATCTTATTGGTGTAGCTTTTATTTAATTTATTTAATAGATATTTTTTTTATTTAAATCCTTATGATATGTAGAATTTAAATAAAAATTTTATCTAATTTATTCTTGATCGAAGTTTTGTCAAAAAGTTTGGCATAGCTTCTGTTTGGTTTATTTGACAAACATTTTAAATTTTTCTAAAACTTTGGTCAAGAATATCTCAACATCCGCTAATCAAATTTAATAATTTTTTTTATTTAAATTCTTGTGATCTATAAAAATTAAATTTTTTATCAAATTTAATCAAATCGTTGCTGAGATATTCACGATAAGGATTGTTAAAATTTTGGCACAGCTTCTATTTGTTATTATTTGGTTTATTTTGATAAACGATTAAATTTTTTTTAAACCTTGATCAAAGATATCTCAACAACTACTCCATCAAATTTAATAAACATTGGTATATTTAAATTCTTGATACATATAGAATTTAAATAAAAGAATTTTCATAAAATTTGATCAAGTGGTTTTTGAGACATTCTTGATCGAAGTTTTTTCAAAAGTTGGTACAGCTTCTATTTGATAGATATTTAAAGTGTAAAAGTTTTCATTTGACCAATTTTCAGGATCTGTTGGTAGACCATGATTTTAAGCAATTCTCTATTAGAGTTGGGCAAATTTAAGTTACATTGTAAGTTACAATATAAGTTACACTGTAACTTATATCTAGCAAACATAAGTTACATATATGTTTATATATAATTTTTTAATTTAAAAACATAAAAAGTTTAATACTATTTAATAAACATAATTTTATATACAGTAAACCTCTATAAGTACATCCTCTATAAGTACATACCCTCTCTATTAAGTTCTAACCCAAACATATACATGCCCTCTATAAATGCACTTTCTCTTAGATGCATGTTGTTAAAGCCTGGTCTCAAGTGCGTGCACTTATAGAGGCTTTACCACAATACCAATATATAAAAAAAAATTGTTTATCTCACTTTTCAAATTACTGTGCCAAGTGTTTTGCATATTAGTTTCTGCTATTAATAAACAGTTGACAGTTGATTGCAGAAATTACACAATATATATCTCAGATAAATTGCATGTAAAAAGGTATGCCTAATCAAAAGCAAGAATTTACACAATCCTTTATTTTTCATAAATGACTGTATATAGTAAGACCTCTCTAAGTGTGCATTCTATAAGTGTATACTATATGTAAATTTTTTCTAAATGCATAGCATAACTTAGCCCAACTTATAGCATAGCAGAAGTTTATTTTGATTGGTTGTTAAGATACCTCAGAAAAAATCTTGATCATACCCTGGGCAGTGTACCGGCTAATCCCAGCCAAAAATTTTATAACCCATGAACTTTTAAATATACTCTAAAGACATATTATAAATTTACAATATACTAATTTAGTTTTGTATTAATAACTTTAATTTGGATTTTACAAGAGTTTTGTTATTTTTTTCGTAATAAATATATATAAATGTCTACTAAATAATATGTACGCAACTGTTTTTGACACTACCATTACTATTACTTATTGTATTGTAAATGTCATATTCACAAACTATACTTGTACCTAAATAAATTATAATCAAAAACATTAATATATAGTTTAGAATAACAGTTCAAAATAATAGTTTTACTTGTAAAAACACAAACTAGTTGAAGCAAAATCTTTCAATTTCAACCCACCAATTGTTTAGACCACTGAACCAATTCTATATATTTGCTATATTAAAAGATATAGGGGGCTATTCAGTAGAAAGGGTGAGATCTACTTTTTGGTTAAATAATTTTTATTAGCTCATTAAATAAAGTATTGTCCGATATATAATTTAAATTAAAAATTAAATTATGCTAGTTTAATAATTTTTTAAGTTTTAAATACAATCTTTACCGTCTAGTGCCTGGTATGACATGATTGTTTACATAGTAAAAAATTAGAAATCACGTGCATTATACAATGGCACATGTATCAGAAAATTATATATAGTGAATATCATCAGAGATTATTAATAATATGAAATACCCGAAAATATGCATATTGAATATTCTAAAAATATGTAGTTGTAATGATCTGTGCTTTGAAAATATTGTGTAAATATGCATTTGTAACAATTTACAAATAAAAAAATGCTTTAAAATGCAATTGCGATGATTAGTGCTACAAAAAAATTGTGCAAAACATGTTAATTGTAAATTTACTTTGATAATCCTCAAATAAAAAAAAAATTGATTGAATAGCGTAAACTAAATGCAATTTGTAACAATACTGATACAATTAATTTCTAAATTAGACCACAAATTTGAATAAGCCAATATAAAAAAGCAAGGCTATATAGTAAAGTACATTTAAAAAGATATCTATTTATTAAAAATTGATTTTCTTTATGAAATCTTGGGATAAAATAAACAGTATGAGATATAGAATCTAATGGTACTATACTATAATCTTGCTACATCATTAGTCTAGGACAACATAAATCTCAGTTGGTTCAGGATCATCCTCATTTGGTTCACAATAGTCACACCATTTCACCATAGCGAAGCGAAGGCAAAGATTGCAGTTTTAAGTAAACTATTAATGTAGAATTCATCTAGTAACAATACCTTATTTGAAAAAAAAAATATTTAATAAAATGAACATGAATTAAATCCAGAATTAATATTTGCTTTGAATTGTTTAATTATCTTTCCAAAGCATATTCTTTGATTGATATTATAATAAAAGAATTCATTTGTATCTATTACAATTGCAACGTCACTAAACCATGAATTATTATTATATAATAAATTTGCACAAATAATATCTGCAAATTGTAGTATTGCTCTCTTATAGAGATATATAAAACTTTTATTATTTATGGAAGTTATAAATGTGCTGTCCAGAAAAGTATTATGAGAGATGAGCAAATTTTCCATGCCTTCAATTTGCAAAAAATCTATTGATTCCATTTGCCAGAAAATCTGCAAGTGATCTTTGAATAATGAAATATAGATATTATAAAGTTTGCCTGACAATATTCTATATTTTTGTGTTTTGGTTTGTTTTATAGTTTCTGTCAAAGCTTTTGTTCGGATCTAAGTTATATATATAAGTTATTGTTAATTTATTAACAAGTAACTAAATAAATAATAAATAAATTACTTACTTTATTTAGAATTTGATTTATAATATCTTTCTTATTACTTTTTCAATAAGGATTCTTAATATAAAACTTATGTATAGTTTCATAGGTTTCTGTTACAAATCCATTAATTGTTGCATAGCGATGAATAGCAGAAATCACATGATATCTCCAGAATATAGCTTTGGTAAGCGCATGTTGCTACGACTAAATCAAGAAAATATATTTACAAATTCAGAACTCCATTTTAGAATTAAATCTTGTAAAGATTAATATAATATTCAATAAGTTAATATATAATTTGCATATATATATATATCATACATACCTCAAATACAATCAAATCATCCTCTGAAAATTCCTCTTTACAGCTCATCATATACATTTGAACAAAGGAGTAATATACTGTATTTAATTGAGCTAAAGATATAAATTTATGTTTGCTATTATGAATTTGTGGATCTTTCTCATCAAACAAGCTATCGATTATTGATATTATTATTTTAATCACTATTCGATACTTATCTGCTATTTGTACAGTAGATATTCTATTATTAAAGATTTTTAACCCTGAAAATCTTAAAATTGCTACAAGTCGATTATTAAATTCTTCTATTACCCAGTTTTCACATTGTTCTACTAATAATTTTTGTGTATAATTCAACATATATACAAAAAGTCCTAGATCTAGATGATGCATCTGATCAGACAAAGTTGCTTCATAAACATTTAAATTTCTTTAAAAATTTTTTAAGAAAAGTTATTAAAAGTAATAATTAATTTGACTTATCAATTATTTTAACTTACGAAAAATTTCAAAAAACATTATGTTGATTATGTATCGAATATTCATGAACTTTTCCTTCTTGAATAATATGAGCCATTAATTCAGGTGTTCGCATAATAATATCTTTTTTTGAAAGGATCATATTGTTTAAGTTTTCAATACACACAATACAATTAGGACATGGTTTTATACAATTAGCTGATTTATAAGTTTCTGTAATTGTATTTGCCTTTGGAGAAAAAGTAATTTGTGATCTATTAATTGTTAACTCTATTTCTTCTAATTCTATAATAGGGCATAGCATGATATTCCAACATTGGTTTATAATATTACGAGTAAGCTTTCTAAAATATTCAGAATTTTTAACTATTGAATACTTGCTTCGAAGTATTGGTAGATATTCTAATAATTCTTTAGCATCTTTTTTATTTCTTTGCCATGATGGAATATTACCTAAAGATAGAAAAACTGGATGTTATTGCATTTTGCCCAAATTGTCACAAAGAGTTGCATCAGAGTATAATATTATTAATAAACTCAGCTTCCAAATTTTAACTCTAATTCTGTTTGTTGCCACCAGTCACAATTATACTGTTCAGCAAAAGCTTGAAAGGAGATATCATTCTATATATATATTAAATTATGTTATTTAGTATAATAAAAATAAATATACTATATACATGATACAACTAATATACAAAAAAGTATATATATACCATATTTTTTTTTGTTTTTCTTCAAATTGAAGTACAAAATGCTTAGTCATATTTGGCTTTTGTAAAAGAGCCTTAATAGTTTTTATTATTGGGCAATAATAAAGATTATATAATGTATCTTCAAAATCAATTATATGTTTTGTTTTAAAGTCAAGATTTGGTGCTACTATTGATTCCATATATTTATGCATCTCTTTGGAATTCTTTGGCAAAGTTAATGTCTCCAAATTTGAATTTTTATCGAAAAAATAGATGAATATTTATAACTTGATTTGATAAATCATAATTAATACAAAGTTTTGCAAACTCTTAATAAATCTTACTTGGCCATTCTGGAATATGATTTTCAATCATTTCATTTACAGCATTTTCAAAACTAGCTCTGTGAAAGTCTTCAGAATCTACTGAGTTAATTTCTGCATCAGAATCTACTAAGTCAATTTCTGTATCAAAATCCTCTACAATAGAACTTTTAGAAATTTCTTCATTGTTATCTTCTACATTAAAATCATTTGTTATAAAATTCTCTATGGTTTTTTTAGTATTATAATCAATTTTTATATCTACTTCAAATATTTTATTTTGTATTTCATCAATTATACTATAAGTAGAATTAGAAAAATTTTGTATATCTGATGTCTCAGTCATCAAAACATAGTCAGAATACTTTATATATATAGAGATATAAAGTTATTAATATTATTATTTATTAAATGATTATATTAAAATATTATTTATATTTTTAAAATTCTACTTTAATATTATATATATCAAATAATTTATTATCTTGAAAATTTTGTATCTTGTTCGCTAGTATGATTTGAAATTTTAGAATGATTTTCTATAAATGTAAAAGCATGATGCTGTTGAATATGTTGTGATAATCCTAGTTGTTTTGTAAAAGTTCTATAACACTCTTCATAAGGACAATATAAGCTTATTATAAAGTCAAATATTTAATATTTATTATTTAATATAAAAAATAAAACGATTAATAGAAAAAGAAGTTAAAATTAAAAATAAAAATATTTTAATATCTTTATTTATACTCTGATTTAATTATATATACAATTGTTTTTTTTTAAATATATAAAAATTACATTTTATTTTTCTTATTACAATTGTTAAATTAAAACTTTAATATTTTATTGATCAACTTTCTATTTTCAATACAAAATTATTTATATAAAATGGCAAAAAAAAGTAGTTCAAAAAGAGGAAGAGAATGTAAATTTTACTATTATAATATAGTAAACTATTAATATATTGAACCTTTATATTTGTCTAATTTTTATTTTAAATAGCTAAAACTTTAAGCACTAGAAATACACCTGATTCTTTGAAAATTTCTTCTTCTAAACAAATATTTGCAACAACTTCAAAAAAAAGAAAACTTGAACCAACAACTACAAGTATATTTGATTAATTTCTTAGTAAAAATTTGCTATTTTAAAACTTATTTAAATAATAACTTTAATAGACTGCAAAGTATTGACATTAAAGAGTTTATTACAAATATCACAAAAACACAAAGCAAAACAAATAGCTTAGAAAATAAAAAAGCTTATAAAAATAATACACCACAAATTAACAATAATAACCATCTAGTAAACAATAAAAATAATAAAGATAATATTAAAAAAGGAGGTAATATCTGTTAATAATTATAGTGAAAGTTTTTAATTTACCCATTAACTTCTTTTAATATAACTTTTAGAAAACTTCAAAAAGTTATCATCAAAGGGTCTATTAACATTACATACTTTTATACAAAATACTCAAAATCAAAAAAGTAGTTTAAAAAGTAAAAAAGTTTATAAAAATACTATTCCACAAATCAATAAAAAATTATATATTTATGATTGTATAGAAGATAATGATGATGATAGTTTTTATAGAGAAATAGATAATAATAATCTTGAAGAAAGAGGTAATGGTTGTGAAGAAAGAGACAATGATTATGAAGAAAAAGGTAATAATTATGAAGAAAGAAGAAAGAGGTAATGATTGTGAAACAAGTGATAATGATTATGAAGCAAGTGATAATGATTGTGAAGTCAGTGATAATAATTGTGAAGCAAGTGATGATTATGCAGAAAGAGATGATGATTATATGAAAAGAAATAATAATCATGCAAAAGAAATAATAATAATAATCATACAAAAAGAAATAATTATAATGATTATAAAGAAGTTTATTATGAAGATAGTAGAGAAAAAGATAGTAATAATGATATTAATAATGAACATAATAATCAAGATGCTTTGCAAGATGATTTTTCTTCAGATATATCAAAGAAATGAACCAAAAAAATGCAACAGATATTGATCATACAAACGTATCCAAAAAATTTGCTGCTGGTATAGTATATATATATTTTAATATTTATTGAACTTTATAATAAAGATTATTCTGATTTTTATTATTAATTAATAATTAGAAAATGGTAATGATTATTATTTAGTCCCTTTAAAGTTTTTACAAAAACTAAATGGTTAGAATAAAATTATTTGGAAAAATCAACTTAAACAAGAAAAGAAGCTTAACAAAATAATGAAGATTATTTTAAAATTACAGAGAGAAAATAATTTATCATCTGCATTTTTTGAGGTAATTGAAAGTTTGAAAAAATAGATTAATTGCATTTTAATTTTTAATAGGCAATTTGCAAGTCACCTGGATAAAAAATTTTTTTTTATATATAAATTTTACTATAAGTGTGAATACACAGCGCTTCTATCTAAAACTTTTTTTATACTAAGTAAATCACTTTTTGGCTTCTAACAAAAGTTGTAGAGCTTATCAAAATGTATTTAATACTGTAAGGATATTAAAATTGGTCTGGTAGATCTTGAAAAATTTCTTTTTCACATATAAAATTTCTTTATATAAAAAAGAAGTTTTTTAAAGATTTCTCAAGACCTACTAGACCAATTTTAATATCCTTATAGTATTAAATACATTTTGATAAGCTCTACAACTTTTGTTAGAAGCCAAAGAATGATTTACTTATTATAAAAAAAGTTTTATATAGAAGCGCTGTGCATTCGCACTTATAGTAAAATTTATATATAAAAAAAATTTTTTATCTAGATGACTGGTGGATTGCCTATTAATTTTATTTTCAATACAATAGAAGAGTATTGTAACTATTACTAAAGAGATTCAAAAAATATCATTATATCCTACTGCAGAATTATTTAAAAATCATCTTGAGATTTATGTAGAAAACAGTTCAAAGAATATATAAAGGATATTGAAGAATGTAGATGGGATTCTTGATTTTATTCAGAGTTCTTGCCTATTGTATGTATTATATATAATACTTATAATTAGTTTCTTACTAACTTTTTCAATTTGGGCTTTATAGTGTCTTGAGAAAATGAGACATTGTCAAAGTGCCTTTGCTAAAGATATACGGCTTGCACTTTTTAAATTTTTTCCTGAAGTTCCTGAAATCAAAACAAATGCAGAAGCAAAAATTGCAGAGTGGAAAAAAAATCTACATGTTTCTGAGGCATATGATAGATTATAGGAAGTTGATGATAATAATCTTACACAATTAACACAATTATTATAAAAGCTATGCTTAGAGAAGCCAAGGATGCCTGTTTAAAACCACTAATAATTGCCTTTGCACTTGCTATCTGCTGCATTGTTTTAAATCCATGTGGCAAAGATATTCGATGTACTGAAAAAGTCATTAAAAAGAGTTGTGCTATTTTTCTAGTAAGTATTCATTAGTATATATTTAATAAGCTTTTTTTTTATTTACATTTTTACACTACACATTATAAGCGCAACTAAATGCAAAATATATTTCAAGTAAAAATGATATTATGGATATTCAATATAACTCGAGAGATGTAAGTAATGCAAACGATTATGATGATAATAACATTGAAGTGCATTCTGAGGATGATATCGATGAAGATGTGAGATTATTTGAGTAAATTTGTACAATAGTACTTTATTGTTGACCTTTGCTGAACTATGTATATTATTTCTCATAATGTAATACTATTAAAATTATATGTTAATTGAGAGTTCATTTTAATTTAAAATAATAAATGAGTGATAAATTGGTTATCTATTATTTATGTATTTTTGATGAACAATTATTTTTACAACTAATTATTCTGCGCATTTTTTCGATGATTGTTTTCGCAGTTGCTTAAAAATAATTAGTTCTGCAGTTTTGTGTACTCACAGATCATTGAACGTGGTGAAGAATTGAGCAGTTTTTAGTTGCCGAAGTACACCGCATATACCTATCTTATTTAATCTCCTGATGTATAAATAATATTTTAAAAAATTGATCTATCTTATTTGTTACAAAGCATTGTTATGATTTACAAAAGCATAATTTTCTCAAAATTTATAATCAAATCTAAATGGAGAACCTTTTTGACTGAATAGCCCCCATATAATATTTAACAATTATATGCAAATTAGATAGGTAGGGTATTATGACCAACTTTCTGATATTGGATAACTTTTGATACACTAGTTTGTTTTGGATGGTTTTACCACCAAAATAACTAAGGATTCTATTGAGTCTAAAATTGTTGAAAGCCAATCATGAGATCTCGAGATCATCAAGGATTTGTTATTTAATTTTAGTAAAATAAGGCTAATCTATAATGATCTCGAGATCCAGTGATCGGATTTTGACGTTTTTAGGTTAGTTCGAATCTCCTCATCGAGCTTGTCATTTTGGTGGCAAAATTATCCAAAATGGACCAGTAGAACAAAAGTAATTACCTGTCAAATATTATATATATATTTATTAATAAGGCCATTTCTAGTTGATTTTAGGTTAATGTCACCCCCTTGCTTAACTGCCCCGAAAATTAAACAAGCTAATCACAACGCAGTATAAACTTTATTAATCATGTAATTAATGTTGACCAATGAGATTTGACCAAATATTCTTGGAACTATAAGTGTTTGTTTAAATTTACCCCTCCCCCACATGCCTGAGCCTAAATATTGACGTTAACCTAAAAATCAACTAGAAGCAGCCTAAGGTTAAATAACATAAAATTTTAAATTTTTTGTAAATGATAATATCTCATGATCTAATAATCAGAATTGGATGAATTTTATACCATTAAATTCGTCTCGATGAAATAAACCGAATGATATAAAATTAATCTAATTTTGCTTGCTACATTATGAGATATGCTAATTGACCACAATACCTCCTTGTCTACAATACCCTATCTCCCTTATATTTTATTCTTTATAAATGCACACATTTTTTAAGTGCTCATTTTGCTTTTTTTTACTATGTTCCAGAGGGGGGTGCACTTATGGAGGTCTTACTGTAGTTCTAGTAATTTTTATAATTTCTAACTTACCTTACCTTACATTGTAACTTACATAAACTAAACTAAAATATAACTTACACAAAATGCCCAACCCTACTCTGAAGTAGAGAAAATATTTGCAAAGGTCCTTTATATAAATACTACTTAGAATTCTTAGAACTTTATTTAATCCATTTGATTTTAAAAATAGGAATGGGTTATTCAAGTATTCAATATTAGCTTTATGTTAAGGTCTAAATTAATTTGCTATAATATTTTCTATTAAGGCATATCGAGATACAAAGCAATTTAACATAAAACCTGTTTAGTTTTAAATATATATATTGTTTGTTTTCATTCGTGGCTAAAGCAGCAAATCCCAAATCTTATTATACAAAACTTTCAGTTTCAATTAAAAAGATCCTAATTTAAGTCCATTGAAGTAATTGTACCATTATGGTACTCGTTAATTATTGTGAAATTTAATTAGATCAAATATAGTTTAGCGGACACTATTGGTAAAATTTTCAAAAAGCCTCATCATGTATTTACGTGATGTAGTGTTAGTGGCTTGGTTTTCGTGTAAACACGAATGAGTCATACTAGCCACTTCATGTGATCATTTGTTGGATCGAATGGCTTCATATATGGAGCTCATTCAAAAATCAAGCCGCCAAAACCACATTATATGATCTCATGATGTAGCTTTTCAGAAATTTTGTTAACGGTATACACTATACAGTACTTTATTTGATTCAAGATCAATAGATAAATGATAATGTAATTGACTTGTAATTGTATTTACATTCTTGCAATAATTGAAATACTGATTTTGATTGATAGTTATGCAATTACTATCGTGTCATTACCATTAAATTGTAATAAAAAAAAAAAGAAAAAAAAACAATGAACCAATTGAAAGATCAAAAATCATGTTAGAAATTCCGATTTCAGATTCATCCTTTTCAGACTTCGTCAACTTTCATATGTTGCTACAATAAAACTAGCCGACTCAATTTTATTTGGACCCTTTATTACAAATAAACCAAATGTTGAATATGAAAATTTTAATTATTGATGTAATATTTTAGGTTTTCTTTTAGCTTTGGCTAATGTTGAGCCATTGTGTCTTGTGGAAGAAGAATGAATTGAATGGTTCATTTAAATAAAGACCAGAATATGATATATATAGCAATTCATGAAATTTCTGCATTCTGCCTTTTTTAATATTAATAGTAAAAAGTTATTTTTTTTATAATCCATCAATGAAAATTTTTATTAAATCAGCGCAACTCTGTGGAAATAAAGGATTTTTGGACCTCCATTTATTATCAATTGAAAATGGTAATCGGCTAAATAGTCTTCTGCTAATAATTTATAGTTGTTATATTTATATTATTGTATCACCTATGCTTTTTTTGAAAGCTTATTTGCATAGTATATTTAAAATGCTCAATTGTTGAATGAAAAAAATAATACTAGGTTGGCAATTAAATTCTCAATTATAGGCAGGTCATTCAATTTAAACGAAGAATTTATATGAACCGGGTGACTTTAAAATTCTTAATTATTGGGCAGGTTGCTGATTTTTGAAATTTTCAATTGTTAAACGAAAAATTCAAATGAATTGAAAGATTTTTAAATTATTGTTTGACGAAAAATTATAATACTTCACAAAAAGATGTAATCATATAATTGTTGTAATGATGAACTTCTATCAGTTATATTTATTTGAAATTGCTAAAATTCTAAAATCTACAAAGTTTTCAATTCTTACGCGGTATTGTGTTTGGAAAGGTCAATGTGCAATAATACGTATAGGGTTGGGCTAATTTTGAAATTCTCAAATTGTTGGAGAAGAATTAATATTAGGCCAAACAATTTTAAAATTCTCTATTATTATAATGTTGAAAATTTTAAAATTCTCAATTGGTGTCGAAGAATTGTGATTTTTAAAATCTTTAAATTAATATCAAACAACTTAATACTGAAAATTTTATAATAGTATTATTCGTTTAGGCTACTTATCTTTTACTTCTTATTGTTACTTGAAATTAGGTTATTTTGTTATTTTTTGTTTGTATATTTTTTAAGATTGGTGAGAAAATTATATCTTATTTGCTTGTAATGATTCGGGGTTAATAAAACCAAACTTTCTAATTTCTCATGAAACTTTTAAACAGCTTCAAACTATTTTTTTTTTTTTTTTTTGTGATGCTATCTGAAAAGTGTCTAAAAGCAAAATAAATTTTGTCTACTATTTTAGATATACTTTTTCTTTTTTTCTTTCTGAAATTAATCTACTTAATACAGCCAATTTGAAAGTTTTTTTTTATATTCACAATGAACGATAGATTATCAAGGGATGGGTTTCAAAATCGTTTACTGTAAGTTACTACTAGATATTCAAAATAAAAGTTGAAACTAGTAAAGAGTATTTCACAAACAAGAAAAAATTATTGTAAATGTGGTATAAAAGGTTTAAACAGATTATCAATAAAAGTTGACGCATGGGTTGTTTTGTCTGACCACGATAAACTATTTTACAGAATCTTAAATATCTTAATTCGCATTAACTGCATTATAACTAGTGTTTCGGCCTAAACCCCCTCCAAAGTCCAAAACATTTCAGCTCTGGAGTTTCTGTATCGCCCAAAATCTGAAACCTCCAAAATGGCCAAAATCTCCGAAATGGCTGACCCTCCGAAACTGTGCAAAACCCTCCGAAACTGAACAAAACTGAGCTTCCAAAATTCATATTTATGACTTCATTTGAATTATTTCAAAAAATTGCTCTATTTTTGCCCTCAACCTTGTTTGCATTTTACGTTCAATGGGTTTCTACTCGGAATATTTCAGATCTCTATAACAGTTTCAGAATTTCCGCCTCATTTTGCCAGTTTTGGAGTTTCAGAGATTTTTCCCAGTTTCGAAAGTTTTGCTAGTTTCAGAAGTTTCACCAGTTTCTGATGTAATTTTATACTCAGATTTCAATGTGTTATGGTGATTCTCGTTATTTTATTGCTATTAACTTCGCCTGTTTCAGAAGTTACTGAGGTTTCGCCAGTTTAGAAGCTTCGGCAATTTCGTCAGTTTCGGAGATTCAGAAGTTTCGGATTTGGGCTTCTTGCGAAACTAGGTTTCATAAGTTTTGGAGGTTTCGGCTGGCTGAAAGTTTTAGTTTAGGCCGAAACACTGATTGTAACGAAATAGTAATTACATAATTACTAAATTTAATCGTAACTACATAGTTACTATGCCTCAATTACTGCCATTAAGAAATTCAAGTTTCTGTATAGTATTGTTGCTCTCCATCATTATTTGAATATTCAATTTTTTTTTACTAACGTTAATTAAATTTGCATCACGACCTATTCTGACCAACCGACTAAAGCAACTCCTAGCATTACCACCAAAATCAGTTACGTAATCCTATTTACTCAGCCAGATCTCGTTACCCAGCAGATTTTTGCATAATATGAATCGTATTAATTAAATTTAGTTACTGTATAAAAAATTTTATTGCGAAAAAAAAAAACGTTCATTTAAAATTATTCAGTAAGCTTTATTATCTAACTTTATATACTGAATTTATGAATTTCAAATTGGTTTGAAATTTATTTGATACAATGTTTTTTAAA